TCTTGGCACTGCCCCTTGCCGCTTGCCTCACGATCTTGGGGGTTCCGGTTGCCCTATGATCTGGGCGGTGGCGCTTGCCGCATGCCTCACGATTTTGAGGGTGCGCTTGAAGCTTGCTCCACGATCTTGGAGGTACCGCTTGCCCCACGATCTTGGGGGGTGACGCTTGCCATTTGCTCCACGATCTTGCTGATGCCACTTGCTGCTTGCCTCACGATTTTGAGGGGCCGCTTGCCCCACGATCGTGGAAGTGCCGCATGCCGCTAGTTTCACGATCTTGGGGTGCCGCTTGCCGCTAACCCCACGATCTTGGAGGTGCCGGTTGCACCATGATCTTGAAGGAGCGCTTGCCTCTTGTCTGACGATCTTGGGGGTGCCGCTTGCCCTTGCCTCACGATCTTGAAGGTGGCGCTTGCTTCAGGATTTTGGGGATGTCGCTTGCTGCTTGTCCCACGATTGTGAGGTGCCGCTTAGCCTACGATTTTGGGGTGCTCCTCACCACACGGCCTTGGGAGTGACGTTTGCTGCTAGCCCCACGACCTTGGGGGTGCCGCTTGCCGCTATCCCCACGTTCTCGGGGATGGCGCTTGCGTCTAGCCCACGATCTTGGGGGTACCGCTCGTCACTAGCCTCAACTAGCAGCAGCTACCCTAGTAAAAAGTTTTGCTTTATGGTTTTGACGTTAAGGATGCGTTTGACTTGGCACAATGGCAGAAAGCCGTCGAATCTTTCAAGAAGCTAGACACCCCTATTGAACATAATAAAGAGCTATTTTCACGATATGGATTTTATAATAGGGCAAAAGACGATGAAGGTAACCATGGGAGTGCCGCAGGTCTCTTCTAGGTAGGGCTTTTCGGCAACAGATGCTGCCGGGAATTCGCTTGATAGGGTATGCTGACGATCTTGCGATGATTTTGACTAGCAAGAAGAGAATGATCCTTGGCGTACGGAATTACGAGACTTACCATATAGATGGAAGAAAATGGCCTGAAATTGGCTTCTGAGAAGACAAAAGTGTGGTAGGCACAGAGTCTCCCCAAATCTCCATTCGTCGGGTAAGCACTGCGGAAACAGTCCCTGTGCAATTTTTATTTGTTGTTCAGTAGCCAGTCTTTGAGTTTAAGCTTTTAAATGGTTATTCTGTATGCTTGATCCCTACGTATTCTAAGTCATTTAATAAGTCTCATCCTCTGTTTAGAGTTGTTCATTATTAGCTTTTCTAGTTCTCCTTGGAATGCCTAACCGCTGATCCTCATAATCCAACGATTCGCCCGCCCTCGATCTTGATATCTTTGGAGTAGGCATTGTCGCGTTCGCGAAATTGATCTTTCTCGTTTTTATTAGAATCAATTAGAGCTTAATATCAGTTGTAAACATTTCTAGTTAAAACCCAAAAATTCCTGTTTCAAGAGGAAGTCTTACTAAAAGGAATGGGGAGTTATTATCGATATCCTCCACGTGCTCCTTCCTGCAAACACCATATGCTGGGTAAACGATCTAATAACAACGATAATTGGAGTATTTCACACTGTTTAGGGACATACTGTTAAACATTTCACCTAATATTCAGTAAATATTGGGACAACTTCTTAAAAAAAAGACACTTACATTACAGACTTTTATTTGGCAAATAACCATATTTTTTTATTACGTATTTCTCCCAAAAAGTACAATTTGGCAACAATGGTAACAGCATTTGTTTCATATGTCAAGGAATGAACGTTATACAATCGTGCTTGAGAATATTGTTCCCATTTTCAAACATTTCTTATTATCGTAAAAACCTTGATCTCATTGAAAATACTCGAAAAAAAGTTAGGCAACTTCAAGAAATCATTGAAAAATCACAATACCTCTAAACAGCTTACCATCATTTACGGTATGTATTTTGAACTATCATTGTAGCTTATTACACGGCTGCTTTTCAACCTTCCTCTTGCGAAAAACAACGTTTTTTATGGTTTCACATCTAATTTCCTTAAAATATGATCATTTCTACTAATGTCTATAATTACTCCTGAAAAAAAAATCGGTCTTATGTGTCTAGACTTTCTTCACACTGCATAGGATTGTGATAATAAAAAAAACAAGCGAACTGTCACCTGGAGACAAATGAATCAAGTATATGACATTGTACTGAGGAAGATCACCTTTGTGAATAAAACGTTTACTATTGTAAATAACATCTTTTAATACATGAGCGATCCTGATACAGATCTATAATTTCCTGAAAATCGCACTGTCGACCAGACTCTTCTCGTAAAATTGATGGTCAGTGATTTGCTATCAGGATCACGAAACTGCGAGGAGGAATGTGAATTGTGCTCTATGATACTCGCGCGAGAAAGTTGGATCCTTGGCATCTATGCTCCTGGTGGTTCGTGCGATCGTGATGCAGACATATGAGTCTTCTTAAGTCGCGCTGTCGATCAAGGTTCCTTCTTAAAATTGGTAGATTGTAGACTTATTAGGTTCACAGAAACGCGAGGGGGTACGTAAATCGTACTCTGCTCCTGATATGAGATAAGCATGAAATTCAAATCCATGGCATCGATACGTTTTGCCGTTTCTGCGATCCAGTTACAGATCTACCAGTTTCTGAAAATCGCACTGTCGACCAGACTTTTCTCGTAAAATTGATGGACGGTGACTTCCTATGAGAATCACAGAAACGCCAGGAGATAAGATGTGAGTAGTACTGAGCTCTATCTACGATACTTGGACGAATTTGGATCCTTAGCATCTATGTTTCTCGTCGTTTCTGCAATCCTGATACAGATCAGGCTCGTGAAAATCGCAGTCAGCCCTTTTCCCACCATACAAATTCCGTTTATTCAGCTACGCTATATGGACGGAATTCACGCTGCCGGATCCCAGACAAGTCACTGACCACTGTATGAACTAGTGGTTTTTATTGTCCAGATACGCATGGGGATTATCGACAGGGTGAGTTTCAGATGTTATATTTTTAACATGTGATCAATTTTTGAACATATGACCGACAGGGGTATTACGTAACCTGAAGAGTGACTTTATGCCGGTATTTTTTGACATTATGTAAGTGTTTTATGACATAATAAAATTTTATATAATACATTATTCATAATACATATTTTATAAAATACATATTTGTATACACACACTACTTTATATTTTGTATTTTTAAGCGTCAAAGTGTGTGCCTAGTTTTAATAACCTAGTAGCTTTTGGTTGGTTTAATTATGGCGTCGAGGATGCTGATTTTATATTTTAAATGTAATTGTCCAACCAATATTTTGTGTTAATCTATTCTGTGACGCATTCGAAAATATTGCAAAGTATGAGATTAATTTGGATTAAAATTTTTTATAAGGCGAACATAGTAAGAATAACGTATGTCCTAAAAGTTTTAGCACAAAATATTTATCGGATTTATTTTAATGAAGAAATTCACTTAAACACTAACTAGTTATCATAAATTACAACTCAATACTTAACTAAACTATACTATCGAATTATGTGGAGTGGCCCATTCTGCTCTACCAGACGCAACTTTCTTCGAATGTCTCTCATGAGGTCCTGGATGGAATTCAGATAAATTTCTCTGTTTTCCGTAAATTCGCCGTCTTAATTGTTCTTCATCTTGGACTTTCCAGCCTGCATGTTAAACTTTCTTAGACAGTAAACCCAAACATCCTCTATTGTGCGAGCTTGCATCAAGTTTGGAGGATTATCGTTTTTGGGAACAAAAGGCATGTTGTGTTGTCGAAGCCAGTTTTGGGTATCTCTTGAGTAATGACATGATGCGATGTCTGGTCAAAACATTCTATAGTCATTAGCATGATGTTCATGGGCAAACTGAAGCAATTTGGAGAAGCAGTTATAAATATAGCTCTCACTATTCAAAGCTCCACCCCTCACCCTTTCCACAAAAGGTTGCCCAACTAACAATTATCACTCCTATTGGAGTTGCAAGAATGATTATACAGTATTCCTTACACAGCATTGTATACTGTAAGAAGATTGGCAAAACCCTCTTAGAACAGCTATAACAAGCGGAATGGGCATACCTAATAGGACACTTCAGTCATTTAAAAGGTTGTATAAGGGCTGCAGGTAATAGTTATACAACAAAAGTGTAAGCCTCTTGCAGCCGCTATAGGACATTTGCGTCAGTGCAAGATTCAGTTTTTGTCAACTATACAACTATTCTGTTACGTGATTCTACTTTATTGCAACCCAACTATTTCTTATGTATTGTATAGACGAAGTGAAGAATATCTAACTAACATAATACAGTTATCTCGTTTACTTACATATCGGCCATTGTGAATTTCATACACAGGTATATAATAAACTTCTACACTGTGATATAGGGCTATTGAATTACTTGCGCAGCAAATTTTATTGCGATTATCGTGCAAAGTAGTTACGCAATTTCTACGGGCTTCGTATTTGATTCATATTTTGATAATGATCGAAAGTATGTCTAGATTTTTAAGATGGAAAACTGAACTTATCTGCGTTAAATCTTCCACAAATCCTATATTTAGACACAATTACACTGATGTTTATCACTTTATATGTGTAATTTTGAACTGAAACATAATTATTTAATATCAAATAGAGGAATAAATGTTTGCCCAATATGGCGGGTGATTGTGTATGATCATGGCATCGTCCATGTTGTCTTTAGTTTATTAGAATATTTTGGTGTTGCCTGCAGGTGTTATATAACAATTTGACAAATGTCAGAAACGAAATACCGACAGAGTCGAATGATTTACCTAGAATTGGTACCAGATCTCAATCTTCTGTTCGAACAGTTGATAACACCTTTTTAACCAATATGCATGCGTTGTTTGTCTTAAAACATTGGTTATGGCATGTTAACAAAAATATGACAGCAGAAAGTTAGGTTATGGTGAAGTTGTATACCAACATATTTAGCATATGTACAGCCTTTAACAGTTACTAAACAACAGTTGTATAAGTGCTTCCGTTGGGAGCAATTTGTTGGCTAAAGTAGTAAATTTGCACAGCAAAACAACAAGGCTCGGGTTAGTTTTATAAACATTACCATGGATGCCACAACACAACCATTTTGACTAACCTGCAAATATGCCGTATACAATAGTTGTATAAACGTTTATGCAACAGTTAAAAATTTTTCCTATTAGGTGTTGTTTAACTATGCTATAAGAATATTTTAAACACCTCATTTTAGAGCAAATATGTTGCAGAAAGCAAATTTGCACTCCACACAACATTAAGCCAGCATTTTGGTGTTCAGGCATCAACAATAGAGAGCTTTTATGGCTGAACGGTTCTTTTACCAAAAGCTTATAGCACTACTTTGCTAGTTGGGTGGGATACACCCCATTAGAAACTGCGCACCATACAAGGATTTTATCTGCCAATTTCGCTTTATGTTTGTATCTAACATTATCAGGGCATTCCTCTACGTTGTCCATATAAAATCCGTCGTATCCCTTAATTTCAAAATTACTCAAAGTGAAATACTTTTCGTCATCTAAGATCATCTTGGTATACGAAGGAGTTGCGCTTGATAGTATTTTGGGCACTTGAGTTTCTTTCAATATTCAAGACCATTCATTCCTCATCAATTCCAACGATATCGTACCCTTAGAAGATCTGCACCTCCTTCTTGATATTCCAACATGATTTTTCGGTTTTCTTACCAATCTGTCTGATCTCTGCCTAGTAAATGCACGTGGTATTCCAGTTTATGGGACATTCAGACATGGTATTCCCTGCTCACACTCCGCTATTGTTCGATAAATGGTTCTATGTCAAAAGGTTTCATTCTGGAATATTCGACAGATTTCAGCTTTGGGTACCCGCTCAACCAACTTGTAGATACTTTTGCTTATTTCTAACTTAAAGCGAAAACTCCAAAATAAATGAATTTCAACTGACAGTAAAGTAAATAAACAAACTTTTGTTTTCAAAGGCAATTTGATATTATTTTGTGTTTGTTAAAACTAAAGTCAATGAATTTTATGCCAAAACTTTTAGGACATGTTATATAGGTACCTATCATCAGACTTGACGCCATTTTTTTGATGTCCTGTATTTACTTACATGCTTATTATATGTTGTATGTTATTTTACAGAATAAAAGTAGATGACAACTTGGAAACTAAATGTTTCAATGACTGATCCCTATAACTAATACATACTTTATTATAATATAATTCAACTTGAGGATAACAGATGGGGCTAGCGTCATTGATCAGAATCCCGTAGGCAATCGTCGTTTTAGTTTCGTTTGTTATGTGTAACTGTTCGGCGCAATCGTTAGATGGCGCTAGGTGTTGCATACATCGTCAACTGGTCGGCAAATGGAAGTCGACTATTTCCAGTCCAGTTGTGTTGCCGTCTTTTGTGTATGAACGCTTGAATTGAATACATGTGCTGAGTTGGGTCGCCGTCATGTTATGGTCCGTCCTGCTTCCGCCTAAATACAAAATAAATAATATAAATTAAATAAATTAAAACGCATAAGAAGGTATGCCCCTAGGCCTCAGATCCCTCTTCCGCCTTTTCTTCCCTTGCAAAGCCATCGGTACAAGCATGGCAACAGTGGCTGGGATGATGCCTGCTCCTAACCCAGCTAGAACAGCCCCACTATCCACCCCTGGGTTCCTCGTCATAGTCGCAATCGCCCCAGCTTGTACAGTTTCGCCCTCGGGTCTATTTTGTGATTGGTTGTTGTCTTGAGGTTTCTTCTTTTTGCGCAACCGGTGCACTGTTGCTAGCTGCTTCTTTCGCGCTTGCTCTACACTTTCGAAGGTTGATTCCACTTGAAGGAGACCGCCATGCGAGGTCGTCGTGTTGACCGAAGAGCCTTTCAGCGGGGGGAGGACGGTCAAGCGCACGGATCTGTGAGTGCCTGAAAAGATGGAGTTCGTTTGAGGAAATTCCGTCAATACTTGTGTCACATACAATGCATACACGTAGGCAGTGATAATTTGTATTGCATAGTGGTATTTGTTACATATTCCGATCTCTCGCTGTCGCAAAAACTCGGGATCGATGGAAATCAAAGGTAATTCTAAAATTAATTAGAAAATTGTCATGTTCGTGCAGCTGTCGCCAACCTGTTGATAAACGTGTCCCCGCCACACAAATTCCGTTCATTCTGCTTCTTTTGAGAAAAAAGGGGTGGTTCTCAGCAAAATCGGCTACAATCTGCTACAAAACAGCTACAAGGCTGGATGAGTGCTGGTTTTCCTCAATGCCTTTCCACGCCATAAAAATGGATGGAGTAGCACCAAACAACAACCAAAACAAACTACTAAAGGTAAGTTAGGTAAGAAAACGTGCTTCTCCGTAAACTGGTGATTGGGGCCCAATATCCCAAAATTTGGAAAGCAAATGAAGGGTCGATACACCTTCTCAACCAAGGCTTCAACAGGAAATGACCAACACGAATTTTCAGCAAGATCTCCCCAAGTCAGTTGACCGTCAATCAAAATTCGACACTCCACAGACTCGGAACCAAAACTATATCAAAATCAAAATGTGTGCCAAAATAATAATAATGAATAGAAAATTCCGATTCCCAAACCCAATTGTCTAATACTCTGTATATACATAACGAAACAAAGTTACGACCAAGGAAAACAAAACAATCCCAAGAGTCTGAGAAAGGCGTTCTGAAATGAAGAAAAGCTTCGCAACCGACCCTACATACAACATCGCTGGTTGCCTGTGGGTGTAGACTCTACAGAGCCAACTTTCATGCTCGAGAAAACCATTGACAACTGATGACAATTATCTTCGTTCAATAAAAATCAACAATAATAATTAAAGGTTGTATTGTCTATTAATCTACTTGGGGTGGATTTCACCAGGATTGTCAAATCAACAAGCCATTATTTTACACCTATAGGGTAACTGTCCGTCAAATATAGCGAATGAGCTTTAAGATCCATTCAACAAATTTGAGCAACCAATAGCTGTGAAATATTGAAAACAAAATATTGCCAAAGTATGAGATGCCAGCTTGTCATTGAAACATCACCAGCTTATTGAATATTAAGAAATTACAATAATTCAGTCAAAATTCAGAAAAGTGTTTGACTTTTGAATAAAATTCATGTTTTTTTTTAAATTGTTGAGTGTTTATTCATGTTTATATTATCTTCAATTGATATTTGATTTTACTGATTTAACATCACCTACCGTGTGTTTTTACCTGTAAACGTCTTGCACATAGCTATCAAGCACCTACTTGGTGACAAAGACTCTACCAAGAATTTCATAGACCTTGCCTGTTTAAAATTATTCATTCATTTACTTGCCGTTCATTATGGCACCTTAGATTAATATACTGAGCGACACAAAAAAGTAAACACCTACCTATGTTTATTAGAATTCAAGAATTTTTTCCATATCGATTTATCTTGCCATGAACAACAAGTGATAAAATGGTCAGGTTTGTCTGTTATGTTTTTGTGGTGGCTGCGTGTATTGTTTGGTGATAAAGAAGGATTCAGCTTTCGTGCATTCACAGTGTCAGTTAAATGTTAAATTTCGTGTAGCTTATTAAGAAGCCTTTTTGTGACTGCTCAAAATGCATAGAGTGCCTAGACTTCGCCGTGTGTTCCAGCTAAGTGACTTTGACACGGGTCGAATTGTCAGGTTGCGTGAAGCTGATCTATCGATAAGAGAAGTTTCTAGGAGGACCAATAGCTCCTTACGCGGTGGAGCCTCATCTTATTCCATACCTAAACACCATCCAAAACCCGATTTTTCAACAATACAATGCCAGACACCATGTTGCCAGAGCATCGTTAGCCTTCATGGATCAACATCGCATCAACCGTTTACCTTGGCCACCACGATTGCCTGACCTCTTTCCAATTGAACATGTCTGGGACATGATAACTCACAGGCTCTTGAATTTGCAAACCTTCCACAGACTCTAGCAGCTCTTGCTCAAGAAGTTCCAGTAGCCTGGAATGAGGTACCCCAACATCCTTAACACATTATTGAACCAGCTTCTGCAGTCAGTTGACGAATCAAGCTGACAATTTATTCATTTTACTAGTAAGGACACTGAACATATACGTATGTCAAAAATTATTAAAATCGGATAAACATACGTAGGTGTTTACCTTTTTTGTCAGTATATAAGGACAAAACCATTCAGGATTTTTGATATCCATATACCCATAAATTTGAATATTTTTCTTGTTCAGGAGGTGAACAACCATCCACACTATATTTACAGCGTTTGAGAAGTACCCAAATATATATCGTAAAGCTACCAGCAAATCTAAAACCTGCAAAAAAATAGAATTTGTAATAATTTTTATTTTTCACGGAGCACACATTCTAGGTTATATTAGATATTATTTGAATTCAAACAATAAACTGCGGTAGTTTTCACTATATCTTATTTGTAGTCCATTCACGCCCCGGCACAACAAAGATGCAGCAAGGCAAGCGGTAGCCGCCTAAGCGTTGAAATAGCTTATGCTCATTCAGCCCTAAAACTACGAACAAGTGCAGGATTCGACAGTATAGAACTTGGCACGGAATATCGCCGGCATGCCAACGCCGATAGTTGCTGTTCATATTCGGTGCATCGATAGCGTGTGTTTATACGTTAGCATGTCGTCTACGGATACAGCAGATGAAACTGAGAATATTTGTTCCAATGCTTCCTTCAGCCATGCTTCCCCTTCAGTGACGTCTCCTTCCCGAAAACGTGACAAATAGGGACATTTGAATATTCAGGCAAAAGAAATTGTCCTTAACGTTTATAAGAGCGACAGATGTGTGTCGACCAAACGGGCTTGCGTCCGGAAATAATTTTCAACATTGTTAAATAATATAACAAAAAATTGTCTCCACCAAACAAGAGGCTGCATTACACGAAGCTGTTCGATACAGTTGATAACTTCGATTGGAATGTCATCAGATGCAAGGTCCATCAAATTTGTGAAAGGCAGGAACTTCCCACCACAGACAAAGTATTACAGGAGGTTAATGTTGATGAAGACTTACCTACTTTCTATATCTGGTAGATTTGGAACCCACACCTGTTAGATACGCTGCTTGTTGTATTATTAGTTTTCATCATTTAGTATTAATACTATTAAGATTAGAATTTATTGTTATTTAGTTATATTTAATTTTTATTGTTTATTTGAAAATAATGAATTATGATTTGTTTCGATATTTTTTTACTATAACAGCATGTAAATACTACGAGCCCCTTCCCACTTCAGTTGGCCCAACTATTGAAATCTTAGTTTTTTTTCTTATCAAACACAAATAATAAAAATGTAGCAGGGTGTTATAGGTTTAAAATATTAACAATGAATATTTTGATAATATATAGTAGAAAACATCAACTTTGTCACTCCCTAATAAAATTTGCAGCATAAAAATAACACATGTTGCAATTACAGCATATCAACCTATTTTCATTTCAATGCAAAATAAGTCTATAACGCTTAGGTGGCTGTGAAAAATAAAAGCCATGACAATTGTTTTTATTAATCACAGCTGTCAGAACACGTTTAAAATAGTTTTGGGTAGTTAAGGTTTTCAAAATGGGTAGAGGAAAGGTTATTAGTGAGAAAATTCGGTTACTGATAATTACATTCTTTAATTCTGGGAAATCAAACTCAGAAATTGCAACTTTGTTAGACTTATCGCGGTACAGTGTGAGAAATATTGTTAGAAGATATAACGTAACTGGTTCAGTTAATATTAAGCCAAGATATATGAAAAAAAGTAATATCACAAATGCCGACCGAAGAGCATTAATAAGAATAATCGTGAAAAGCAGGCGTGCCAATTATTTACAATTAAGAGCTCTGTGGAGTGACGCTATTGGAAGGAGAATTTCGAGGACCACAACTCATAGAGAGGCCCACAAACTGGGATTTAGCACTTGCAAGGTAAGTTTTCTTATAAAAAAAGTGAAGTAAAAACCCTAAGTTGCACAACTTGTTTATAGGCCAAAGAAAAGCCACTATTAACTCCACTGCAAAAGAAAAATCGGCTTAGATGAGCTAAGGAACATAGACAATGGACACCTCAACAATGGTGTACAATACAATGGAGCGTTGAGGCCCGAATCGAAGTTTGTGTTGGTGACAGTCGCAGTAGAGTTATTCGCAAAAAAATGAAGCATTCCATGTTGACTGTCTGAAGAGAAAAGTGAAATTTCCAGCATCCATTATGGTCCGGGGCAGTATGTCATCAAAAGGAGTAGGAACAATTCATTTTATTGATGGAAATGTGGATACAAACAAATATTTGGCAATTTTAGAAGAATCGCTTTACCAGTGATGGAAGAATGTTTGACATCCGGACAAGATTTTGTGTTTCAGCAAGATGGTGCAGCGTGCCATACCTCAAAAAGGCTATAAAATGGATGGAAGAAAATAATCTACCACTTTTGAAATGTGTTCTAGCAGTCCAGATCTGTCACCTATTGAAACTTTGTGGCACGAGAGGAAAAAGGTTCTACTACAACATCCTGCTCGTACAATCACCGATAAAAAATAAAGGTGATGTTACCCAATGGTAATCTTTCAATTGTTGCTTTGTTAACTTCGCGCATTTCTTCGCACATTGTTTATTTGTTCAGATGCTCTATTAGTTATAGGTCTAGGTGATTTCAAATATGTATTTTTTACGACTAGAGTGTATCTAAAATGTTTTTGAGAAAATAAATTGTTTTAGAAGTAAATAGTTTCGTCATGTTTAGTTTATAAAGGCATATTTTGGTACAAATCTTGAAGTGGGCCAACTGAAGTGGGAAGGGGCTCGTATATGAAATAATTATTTACAGGAAAAGGAAAACGGTTTGTTATCTGTGACATTGGAAGTGAAGATGGATGTGTGCCCACTGCCCTATGAGTATTT